TCACCACCCCCAGCCCCAGCTCCAGAAGTCTCAGCTCCAGAGTCCACAGCAGCAGGCTGCGGAGGCGGCAAAGACGGCCGTGGCGGGAAACCCGGGGGGGTCTCCAAGCGAGGAGTGCGGCGAGTGGTCGCCGTGTCATCGGCGACGGCGTCACCCCCCTCAAGTGAGTCAGAGGAGTCAGAATAGATCTCAACTGACTCATCCAAGGGGGGTGGGTCTACCTGGGACACACCTGAGGGAGCAGGAACCTGTGGGGGAAGGGGGTCTACCGGGGGGGGGGGAATGGTACCAGGAAGAGAGGTGCGAGGGGGACCGGGTGGGACGCGTGCGGGTGAAGTCGGTAGTAACAGACCGACTCGTCAAAGGTGACGTCCTGAGAGGACAGAACACGACGCGAGGCTGGGTAGTAGAACTGCCAGGGTGGAGCGTCGGTGGGGAAGCCCAGGAAGACACAGCGGAGAGTGCAAGGAGAGGGCTTGCTCGCTTTGGTATCGCGAACAAGGGAGAGCGCGCCCCAGACCCGAAATGACGACGCATCACCAAGCTGTCCCGTCCAACGGAGTGTGGGCGAGGTCTCTGGAGCAGAGAAACGGGGCCAGAGGTTGAGCTGATGCGCGGCGTATCGGACCGCAAACGGCCACAGAAAATGGGGAGCAGCCGCATGGATCATGGAGGTACGAGCAACCTCCATGATCAGGCCAATGCGACGCTCAGCGATCCCATTTTGTTGCGGAGAGGCCGGAAGCGTGAACGACTGGGCGATGCCCTCATCCTGGCAGAACGTCTCAATGACGCTAGAGCTGAACTCACCACCCCTGTCAGAGTGCAGACGCAGGACTGGGAAGTCCTGCTGAAAGCGCTCGTGCAGCTGAAGACGAGTAGCACGGATCTAGGGGATCAAAACACCACTGACGTCCGCCTTGCGACGCAAGGGGAAGACGGTGGTGTAGCGTGTGTAGTCGTCAACAACCAGCAGGAAGTAGCGCTCTTGGTCCGTTCCACCGACAGGGGTCGGGCCCCACACGTCCAGGTGGAGAGTCTGCAGAGGAGCAGTGGTCGGAGGAAACTCGGAGGAGTGAGGAGCAGCGCGCTGCCGCCCCTCGACGCAAGGAAGGCATGGCGGCGCAAGCGAGCGCGGGAGGGGGGGCAGGGTCTCAGGGAGGCCAGAGACCAGGAGCCGGGAGTGCATGCCGCACAGACGCTGCAGGGAGGGGTGACCAAGACGGTGGTGCCAGCGCTGATTCTCGTGCGTGAGTACTCTGCACGAGCAAGACGCAGCTTACTGCCCTGACGCAGACGCTCGACTCGACGCAGCTACCTGACCTGACTCAGCCACCTGTGCAGACGCAGTGGTCAGTGTGTACAGACTAGACCCGGGCTGTCGAGTGAATGTAGCCAGGTGACGGCCAGTCCGAGAGCACGTACAGATCGCCACACGCTGCCCTCCAGGAATAAAGGTATCAACCCAGACATCCTGAATGGCAGCGTTGCTCACCAAATTCGTCGAGAACGTGGGGAGGTGGAGACCTGACATAGAGCCAGAGGGGACTGCTGGACAAGGGAGGACCGTGGAGGCTCGCGCAACCATTGGGCCTCCAAAGGGGTCAGCCAGTGAGACTAGGACAGGTGCTGTGAGTGGTGTGACTGTGGTGCAATCACGGAAGAAGCAACGTGACGCGCCTGAGTCAAGCGTGAAAGTGTGCAAGACCTCAGCTGAGGCAGTACCTGTGGTAGTAGACGCACTAGCACCTAGAGCATTGGTAGACTCACGGGCACCTAGAGCTGCAGCATACTCACTAGCACCTGGAGCGGCAGCAGACTCACTAGCACCTGGAGTGGCAGCAGACTCACTAACACCTGGAGCAGCGGTCCTAACAGAACGATAACCTCCACCACCGGGACGACCTCGCTGAATAACCCATTCATGAAGCTGCCGAGGGGTGGGGTCGTTCGGGAGAAGCAGTGCCTGCTGCTGTCCACCCCTGGCAGCAGCAACTACCGCGGAAGTGGCCATGACAGACAATGACTGTCGGGAGTAGTTCCAGCACCTCCAGCTCCTACAGTGCCAGCAGCACCTCCTGCACTCCCAGCAGCACCTCCTCGACTTCCAGTAGCACAGGTAGCAGCAGCAGCAGTAGTAACAGCAGCAGGGCGGTTCGGTGGGGCTGGGAGGCCGCACCTCCACCACTCCCAGCAGTACTCCCTCCAGCAGCAGCAGTAGTAGGGCGGCTCGGGCAGCAGCAGCAGCAGTAGAAGCAGTAGACCGAGTAGCACTAGTTGTAGCAGCAGTAGGTGCAGCAGCAGCAGCAGTGACAGCTCAGGTTGGGCGGCGCGGCTCGGACAGGGCGGCGCGGTTCGGGCTCAGTGGCGGAGCAGCAGCGGCAAGTAGCAGCAGCAGCAGCAGCAGCAGCAGCAGCAGCAGCAGCAGCAGCAGCAGCAGCAGCAGCAAGGAGGAGCAGCTGCAGCAAGTAGCAGCAGCAGTAGCAAGGAGGAGCAGCGGCAACAAGTAGCAGCAGCAAGGAGGAGCAGCTGAAGCAAGTAGCAGCAGCAAGGAGGAGCAGCTGCAGCAAGTAGCAGCAGCAGTAGCAGGGCAATGCAGGCGGCAGCAGTACTGCAGCAGCAGTTCAGGCGCAGCAGCGAAGCAGGAGCAGCAGTAGCAAGTGCCGTACTAGCAGCAGCAGCAGCAGTAGCACTAGCTATAGCAGCAGGAGCTTCAGTAGCAGTAGCAGTGAGTAGCGCTAGCTGTAGCAGCAGTAGCGTAAGTAGCAGCTGTAGCAAGTGCCGTAGTAGCAGCAGCAGGAGTAGCAATAGCTGTAGTAGCACTAGCTTCAGTAGCAGCAGCAGTGAGTAGCGCTAGCTGTAGCAGCAGTAGCGTCAGTAGCAGCAGTAGCAAGTGCCGTACTAGCAGCAGCAGCAGTAGCACTAGCTGTAGCAGCAGGAGCTTCAGTAGCAGCAGCAGTGAGTAGCGCTAGCTATAGCAGTACTAGTTGAAGTGGCACTAGTAGCAGTGACAGTTCGGGCTGGGTGGCGCGGCTAGGACACAGTGGCAGAGCAGCGGCGGCACGTAGCAGTAGCAGCCGGTGCACAGCAGCAGTAGGCGCGTGCGGGCTGTGAGCTAGCACCTAGGGGCGAGCAACAGGTGCGCGCGGAGCAGCTGAAAAGGAGCGCGCGCGCGCGCGGAGCAGCTGAAAAGGAGCGCGCAGCAGGTGCGTGCTAGGGGCTGGCGGGCGGCGTGAGTGGCGCGCGCAGCAGCAGGAACGAGTGGGGACCGGGTGTAGGGGCTGACGGGCTGCGCGAGAGGCGCACGGGGCAGCTAGGGCGCGGTCAGGGGGGGGTCACACGTGACTAGGCAGAAAAATCGCACCTAGGGCAGAAAAATTGAACCGTTTCGCCTAGGGCACGTTTTCGCATTTCGTTTTTCTCCTAGGGGCGCGACTCGGGGAGTAGATCGAAATAGTAGTGGTGGGCCCTTTTAAAAATTCGGTCCTAAGGAGCTTTTTGCTCTTAATACCATGTAAGAATTACTAGCTAGGTGAGGATGTCGATTAGGTAAGTGAGGGGGATACAAGACTATTGAGAGTGAAATGTTGTACCCTCTAAGGAAAGAACCCTACACAACCTAGAGTGAAATGAACAGAACAATATATGTTTTGACATTTATATCCTTGTACTCCTATCTTATAATTATCTTGTTCTCCTTCAATTCATTAAACAAGGTCATTACAGAGACTTCACATTTCTCTCTCTTACACTTAGCAGCATTATCCTATCCACTACGATCCTTCGGTTATAACATCAGAATGTACCCCTTTGAGTACATGGCTAGCTAGGTCGATTGGTATTCCCCTGTACCCTTATTTATAGTGCCGTATTTGCATGTTTTTATTATCTCAGGCATTTACATTCACTCTGCTATTGAGGTCAAGGGCCCACCACCACTAAACCAGTAGTGTGCGAACCCTCCTGAGGAGATCCTGGCTACGATCAACTTCTGATCGCAACACTGGGAAATTCAGTGTAGGGCCAACTTTAATGTGAATGATTCAGTCTAATAAACTTTTTACGCTTGTCAGGGAAAAAAAATGTACCCGAAGCATCAGGGTTGACTTTACCTAGAACCCTGATTACAAAGGGTGGGCCAAAACCAATCTGAAGCCCTGATTGTAGTGTTTAGTTATTTCAGCTTTTTGGTGTTGTGGAAATTATCAATAACGGTAAGAAACAAAAATTGGAGTACCGTCATACCCCGGATATACCCCCATGGGGGGCAATAATAAAGCAGGTTTTTTTAGGGGGGTGGGCTTATAATCGAGTAAATTTATAAGCGCCGGCGTTTATAAAATGACATATATGTTTTTATATATTTTTGAACACCATGCTGTAGATCTCGTGCTTGCCTTTTCAATCGAGACGAAGTTACATGGGGTCGTCTGTGAAATTCTCGCGCGCGCAGGGAGGTACACCCAATCTGACTCACATCCAGCTCCTGACAGCTCATGACAGCTCCTGCTGACTGGACCCGAATCCAGTGCAGGGTCCGAATGTGAAGGGAACCGAATCTGCAAAACATCTGCCTGCTAAAGTAGAAATCATTAAAGCGTTTTGAACACATTTCAAAAAAATAAGTTTACGTGCACTTATAATAAAACAAGTTTTTTCAGGGGGTGCGCTTATAAACGAGCAGGGGATATAAGCGCCATATGCCAATTAGAAGCGCCAGGCGCTTATCCTAGGGTGGCGCTTATATCCGGGGGGTGACGGGTATATGGTCTAATGGTGTAATTATATTGAAAGGGGGGTTCTTATCAATAAAAAAGTACAGAAGGGTCTTCACGAAAGTAGGCGGAATAAAGAACCCATAGTCCGGAAAGATTACCTGGGGGGGCCTCTACGCGGGGTGGGGGGGGTGTCTTTTTGCCAGGAGATTACGGTACCAGCGCATGCACAACAATTATCAAGCCTGCAGCACCTCAGTGCAACTTCACCTGTCCCTGCCGATCTCACACATCCACCCCTGCCTTCCTGAGTCGGTGCACCTCTTCCCGTGTGGCTTGCACAGTGTGCCAGTTGAGCACGGGGGAGAGAATCCCCACGGCCACTCCGGGATGGCCTTGCTGCACCAGCCATGCGAGCAGTGGGGCCAGGGAGCGCTCGTTGAGGGCGCCCCCCAGGGTGAGCAGGAACCAGAGGGCGGCGTGGAAGGGCGTCATCTGCACCATGAGGCGCACGTTCAGCGTGCGGTGCTTGAGGAAGAACCGCACCCCGTTCTCCCCCCGCTGCCGCTCCTGTCCCCCCACGCCACATGCGAGTGCGCCATGAGAGTTGGGGCCACGTGCAAGGTAAGCAGAGTACAGGCGGGGGGGCAGAAGGAACGAGGGACAGACACGATGTAGAAAGCAAGTGGATTGTGCAGTGACAAGCACAGTCGAACTCAGGGCACTTGCATAGTTCCCTGGCGAACCGCAATTAGGATTGTGTTATGTGAGGACTGCTGGAGGCAGCTTGTGAGTGGAACAGCATGTGGTGCTCTCACGACCATCGGATTGTGGTGCTGCCGCTTGCAGGCAGCATGTAGTGAGCAAGAGGCAGGATGATGTCAGCATGTGGTCAGCATGAGGTGAGCATAAGATCAGCATGAGATCAGCATGAGGTCAGCATGAGGTCAGCATGAGGTCAGCATAAGGTGAGCATGAGGTGAGCATGAGGATGGGTCACCTGGCGGATGAGAGCGGGCAAGTGAGAGGGATGGAAGGGCGGGTGCCAGTGGAAGCCCACGGCCTCGGGGCACTGCCATATGCGCGCGCCACACTGCCGCAGCCGCTCTGCCCCACACACATGCAGGGGGCGCACGCAGTGATGCAGGGATGGAGGGAGCACAGGTTAGGCGAGACCAGGAAGGCTTGGATGTACTGCGCCTAGCAGCACACAGTCCGGTACGTGCCACGGCACCCTCATTCCAGACTAACCACCTACTTCAATGCCCTGTACATACTCAACCCATCCCCCCCTGGTGCCCACGCCCACCCCAGTGGTGCGAGGGTGGGAGTGCGGGCAGCAGCGCACCTCCGAGCTCCAGGTCCTCCCAGCCGTAGCTGCTGAAGTCCACATCAAACGGCCCCATCTCCTGCCACTGCTGCTCCACCCCCTTCTCCTCCGCTCCACGCCCCTCCTCCCTCCGTGCTTGGCCAACCACGACCGCTCCCCCAGCCTGCCCTTCCACTGCCGTGAGCACCTCACGCGAGGTGCAGGAGGAAGAGGAGGAGCGCGCGGTTGCAGCAGGTGGGGTGAGGCGGAGAGTGGCGGCAGCCAGCATGTGGCGTGCAATGGCCACGTTGCCCGTGGCGAAGAACGCTGCTGAGTAGTCCTGCCAGCACCCGCCACGAGTCATGACGCGGGTGGGGGGGGGGGGGAGGGAGATCAAGCAGCTAAGCACGTGCACACACTCATGACGTGAGTGCCGATACTAAACAGACTTGCACGCAGGCAGGAACCAAGAGAACCATTATCGTGTTGCAGAAAGGGCAGCAAGGCGAGTGGCGGGGCGCACAGTGAGTTTGAAGGGTTCGGCCATGGGGTCATGGAAGTTGCTGGTGTTCACCACCCGCCCGTACGAGAAGGTGCGCTCGTCCCCAAACCTGCTCCTTGCCTCCGCAAGAGCACGCGCATGCGCTGCTAGGAAACCTGCGACGGTGGGTTGAGAGGACGCAGCAGAAATTTAAGCAGTACGACTTGCGAGCAGGCAAGTCAAGTCTGAGTGTGCGTTTGTGAGTCCCTCTTCCCCTCCACTTCCCCCCTCCCTCTCCTTCCTTCTCTGTGCCCTCACCTCCTTCCGTCCTCCATTTACATTTCCCACCTTCCTTCCCACATCTCCCTCTCCCTCGACCTCCCTTAATCCCCTTTCCTCTTGCAGCGTTCCTCTCTCCTGTCAGTCTCCCATCCCCTCTCTCTCTCCCCCTCTCCTCCCTCACTCACTCTCGTCCCTCCCCCACTCTCCTCCCTCCCCCGCTCTCCCCCGCTCTCCCCCACCTCCTCTACCCCTCTACCTCCTCCCTCCTCTCCATCTTCCACCCCTCTCATCCTCTCCCCCTCTACCCCAACTCTCTCGCATCTTACCCCAGCTCCGCCCATCTCGTCCCCATTCTTCCCCCCCCCCCCCCATGTCCCCTCACCTCTCCCCCCCTTCCCCTTTCTTTTATCCCTCCCCCCCCACCACTCCCACCCTCTCTCCATCAACGGCTCATCTCGCTCCCCATCTCCATCTCCCACTGCCTCCGTCTCCCCCCTCCCCCCTCTCCATCTCCCTTCCATCTCGCCCCCCCCGTCCCACTCATCAACCAGCCTTTCCCTCTTCCCCGCGTCCACCCCCCCCCCCCGGCTCCCCACCAGCTCTCCCCCCCTTCCCCCATCCCTGCCTTGCTCGTGCGCGCCTGCATCAGCGCGGCAGCGGGCGGGCAGCGCACCGGGGCACACGACCATGTCGGAGTCGATGAACACGATCGTGCTGCCGCCCGCCACGCGCACGCCGTAGTTCCGAGCGGCCGTCGCGCCCCCGTGCTGCTGCTGCACCAGTCGCACGTGGGGGAACGCCACCGCTGCCTGCCTCGTTTCGCCATCCACCGCCTCTCCCGCCCCTCCCTCCCCCGCGCCCTGCGCGAGCCCCTCGCACGACGCCACGCCCATGGCGGCGAGCGCGCGCACGGTGCCGTCGTCGGACCCGTCGTCCACCACCACCACCTCGTACCGCCGCACGCCCGCCTGCCGCTCGCCGCGCTGCTGCTCCAGCGCGCGCAGGCACTGGGTGAGGATGGGCAGGCGGTTGTACGTGGGGATCACCACGCTCCACACGCCCTCCTCGCCGCGCGCCCACGCCACCTCCCGCTCCGCCGCCGCCTCCTCCGCTCCCCCCGCGCTCGCCGCGTGCAACCCGCCGCCAGCCGCTACACGGGCCGAGTGGGGTCGCGAGGGGAACGGTTGGGGCGCTGGGCCGCGGGAGCCGGCTGGCGCCGCCGAGCCGGCGATAATGGCGCGCGCATGGCGAGGCGTGCGGGCCGCACCACCAAGGTCCTGGCAGAAGCATCCGTTATGGAAGGGGCGAGCTCTCGCTCTTCCGAGGCGGGCGCTGCTGCCGTGGGTCGCCGGTGCCCGCACACGCACTTCAGCGCTGGCGGCAGCATCCCATGCGGCCGCGCGCCTGCCCGCGCTGCAGCTCGCCGCTCCAGCAACGCGTTCGGCCGGCGGGGGAGTTTTGGCGGAGATCATGATAACGGCGCGAGGAGACGAAGAGAGAAGGTGAGGTGCAGATGGCAGGCACTCTTCTGACGCGTGAGGCTGCAAGAAAACTGAAAGCGTTCTACTCTATCGCGCGCACTCCATCGGAAACTACCGCGAGTCGCGTCCGAACATGGTTGATATGTAGCTGCTATGATGCCAAGCAGCTTTAGGGCGTGTCCAGCTCGTTCATTTCGGGAAATCTAGGACCTCCTCAAGATCCGGGGTTCAAAACTGAACACTGTAACTATAAACGAACGGCCTTGCTCGAGTCAACCCTTTCTGTCATTCTAGCGCGCGGACACTATCCCCCCACACAGACTTCGCAGTGCAGGGGCCGTGTGGCAACCAAGGTAACCAGTTCCCTCGTCAAACAAAGCGTTAGAATTTTCGCCAGGCCAACACTTCCACTATAGGTTTTGGCGAGTGTCAGGCGACCAATGCGAAATCAAGCGCGCGAGACGATGGGCACTCACTGTAGTGGGCAGGACGCGGCTCTGTACCATTGTTAGATGCGCACGCTGATTCCCGTAACGTGCGTCACACAATTCGAGGTACGTGCAGGGGGTGTGCCGTATCGTGAACGGGAGCTGATCGTGTCTGGCATTTTTGTAAAACTCAGTGTTACAACGAAAATTGTGGTAACTGAAGGGCTTTACGAACAGTAAATGAACGAGCTGGACACCTCCTTAGTTGAGGCCATACTCGTTACTCTCGCTATTCTGGTAGCCCATGATAATCAGAAAATGAGCTGCCTTCTCTGACGAATTATGCAAAGAAAATATGTCACACAATTAATAAAGGCAGCACTAGGAAGTACCTTGATATACTTGTGTGACAGAGTAGTGTAGAGGAAGGAAGGCAGTAGCGAAGCATATCAGCAGGCGGGAACCGAGCCTAGGGCGAACCGAACAAAGCTGAAAGCGAACGAAAGTAGCAACAGATATCAGGAGCAACAATAAGTGCGTGAATGATAGTACTTAGGAATGCAGGAGGTTGAGGAGCCGATTGCTTGCTTGTTTGGTTTCTCATCTTAGCTAAAGGAATTTGAATTCTAAGCCTCAGAGAAGCCAGTTCAAGCGGCAGTCAGCCATGCTAGCTAAGCCAGATGTGGCGTAGCTAAGCCAGATCAGGGTTCTCGTTATCAGACCAATTTGGTCTGATGGTCTGCGTTTAAGACTGGTTTTTTTGTATTCATCTTAATCCTAAGATTTTGTGTTTGTTCTCATCTGATCAGCAAGATTTGACTTTTAAGTTCGTATGATTTTTTCAGACGTGTAGAATTTTTTATCTGAGGATACAGATAGCGAGTTCGGTTTCGTCTGAAACCGACAACTTGACCCACTAGGCCATAGGCCCAGTTGACCAGAGGACAGGACCACCACAGGTACAGCCGATTGCTGCCTTGTAACTGCACGCGCATTCATTACGCGTGTCTTATACAGCTCTGTAACTGGCCTTGTGCAGCCTCGCTGTAGGCTGACTTGGTTTTTTTTTTCGTCTAGTTTATCAGACTAGGAAAAATATTTCAGCTTATACTGCAGACCACAAAAATTTCGTCGTCAAAGCCTAAGACGGGGAAAATGTTTTTGAGGGTACTGTCAGACAGGCCCTAAACCTAGCGAGAACCCTGAGCCAGATGTGGTGCGTCTAACCCAAGCTCTTTCGATTTAGTGAGGAGAGAGAGAGAGCGAGAGAGAGAGAGAGAGAGAGAGAGAGAGAGAGAGAGAGAGAGAGAGAGAGAGAGAGAGAGAGAGAGAGAGAGAGAGAGAGAGAGAGAGAGAGAGAGAAGGCATACTACAAGGGATTTGATCAGGAGAACCAGCTAAGAGAGGGTAAGAGCCTGGAGCAAGAATAGGAAGACCAGAATTCCGACAAAAAGCACGTAAAAAAACATTCCCTATCAAATGACATAGTTTTCCATGTAGTTAAAAAGCATCACGTATCGTAGGATAATTTTGAATGGAACAATAAAAATGTTGATAAAATAGTATTACTCATTTTTTCTCAGTTTACTATTCTTTTTTCGACTAGTTTCAAAACGCCCTAACCATTGTGATTGTATCGTAATCCCTCGCCCGCATGCAGCAGCAACCTAGGGTTTACTTATGATTACCAGCCCCTGAGGGGTGGTGCTATCTTTAAGGGGGTTTTTTAATGACAAACAAACCAATCCATCTGCGCAGGCCTGACATAAACGAAAAAGCTAGATTGATTTGCGTGTAACGTTGTATCATACGTGCTTATTCTATAATTACACGTACCGTAATCCCCTGGATATAAGACTGTCAGATTTATATGACATAGTTACTGTAGGCTATAGTGGGGTAGCACATATGGGGTACAGGGTTTCTAGGGTTGTATTTGTACCCAATCTTTCCTTAGTCATTTCATTCCTGTTTTCTTTACTTCACATGGTATAGAGCGGGTCCTACCTTAGGACCGTTTTTTTTAGGGCCCACCGAAGGGCGCCCCGAGGCGCGCCTTTTTTTTTAGCGACCCCCTCGGGTCGCCTTTTCCCTCGCGGCCCCGCTGTCCCTCAGACGCGGCCCCGCCACCTCTCCTGATCGCGGCCCCGCCGCCTGTTTGACGCGGCCTCGCCGCCTACCCTGACGCGGCTCCGCCGCCTCCCCTGACGCGGCCCCGCCGCCTCCCCTGACGCGGCTCCGCCGCCTCTCCTGACGCGGCCCCGCCGCCTGTCTGACGCGGCCCCGCCGCCTCCCCTGACGCAGCTCTGCCGCCTCCCCTGACGCGGCTCCCCCGCCTCCCCTGACGCGGCACCGCCGCCTCCCCTGACGCGGCTCCGCCGCCTCCCTTGACGCGGCCCTGCCGCCTCCCCTGACGCGGCTCCGCCGCCTCTCCTGCCGGCCCGCCACTGCACCTGCCGGCCCGCCGCTGCACCTGCCGGCCCGCCACTGCACCCTACGGCCCGCCGCTGCACCCAGCGACCTGCCGCCTCTGACGGCCTCGCCGCTGCACCTGCCGGCCCGCCACTGCACCCTACGGCCCGCCACTGCACCCTACGGCCCGCCGCCTGCACCTGCCGGCCCGCCGCTGCACCTGCCGGCCCGCCACTGCACCTGCCGGCCCGCCGCTGCACCTGCCGGCCCGCCACTGCACCGGTCAACACGCCGCTGCACCTGACGGCCCCGCCCCTGCATCTCCTGGCCGAGCCGCCTCAGCAGCCGAACCGCCCGTGAGCCGAGCCGCCCGACGCCGAGCCGCCCGGGACCCGAGCCGCCCTGCCGCCGAGCCGCCCGGGAGCCGAGCCGCCCTGCACACGAGCCGCCCAGCCGCCGAGCAGCCCGGGAGCCGAGCCGCCCTGCGCCCGAGCCGCCCAGCAGCCGAGCCGCCCAGCACCCGAGCTGCCTTTCTGCATACCTACACGACCTGCCCTGCCTGGTGAGCACAGTCCCACTGACACTGCGAGCTCTTTCCCTGCTGCTTGCACTACGTCGCTGTCGTCGCCATGGCTACCCCTAGTGTCCTAGCTTTTGACGCTGAGGGTCGCGCCATTGATTTTGAGGTCTGGTTAGACGACCTGCAGCTGTTCTTACAGTGCGACAGGGCTGACGACCTTTCTCTCTTTGATCTCACCTCTGGCGCCTCTCCTGCTCCTGCTGCTGATGCTGATCCCGCTGTCCGCTCTAAGTGGGCCACCCGCGATGCTGCTGCACGTCTTGCTGTGCGTCGCCACCTCCCTACCTCTGAGCGTGCGCACTTCAGTCAGTACAAGAGTGCTCAGACCTTGTACGACGCTGTAGTTGCACGCTACTCCTCCCCTGCCACTGCTGCACTGAGCCGTCTCATGCTTCCCTACCTCTTTCCTGACCTCTCTGCCTTTCCCACTGTCGCTGACCTCATTACGCACCTCCGCACTAGTGACATTCGCTACCGCGCCGCCCTTCCTGCTGAGTTCTGCGCTAAGAACCCCCCCCCCCATGTACATCGCTCTCTACTACGTAGTCGCGCGCCTTCCTGACTCCCTTCGAGTCGTCAGGGACCACTTTCTCGCAGTCTGTCCCACCACCCTCACCGTCGACCTCCTCGAGAAGGCCCTCCTCGCAGCGGAGAAGAGCATCGTCGCTGTAGGTGCTTCTCGTGGTGACCCTCGCACCCCCATCTTTGAGGGGTGCTCTCCTTCCCCCTTGCTGCCCTCTGTTGCCTCTGCTGCTGCTGCCGACCTGCTTGGTCTTGAGTCGGTCGGCGCGGCGTCTGCCCCTAGTGGGAGACGTCGCTCCAGCAAGGGCAAGGGGGGCAAGGGCGCGGGTGGAGCTGGAGGGGGCGGTGGCGGTGGCGGCGGTGGCGGCGGAGGGAGTGGGGGTGGCGGCGGGACTAGTGGCGGGGGTGGTGGTGGTGGTGGCAGCAGCGGCGGAGATGGTGGTGGTGGTGCCAGCGGTGGTGGTGGAGGCAGCGGCGGAGGTAGAGGCGGCGGAGGTGGAGGCGGTGGAGGCGGCAGCGGAGGAGGCAGTGGTGGTGGAGGGGGTGGATCTGATCGGGGTGGTACCCAGCAGCGTAGCGGCGGTGGTGGTGGCCAGCGCTCGCAGCGGCAGCAGCAGCAGCGCTCTCGGGACATCCCTTCGCCTCAGCAGCTTCGTGAGTGGTACGCTGGGCGTCAGAGGGGTGGGGGTACTGGTCCCTGCACCTACGTTCTTCGTTCCGGCGACCGCGCGGGTGAGCAGTGTGGGGGTGCCCACGCCACCCAGCGCTGCTTTGGCCGCCTGACGGACGCCTGGCGTCAGCAGTTCCCTGGGGCTAGTGAGATCCCTCGCTGGGATGAGCTTCTCAGGGCTGGTGTAGCGATCTTTGATCTTGATTTTGATGCTATCCTTACTGCTATGTATGTTGTGGATTATAGTGAGGAGAATGAGGGTTACCGCTGTTTCCAGCCCGACCCGGGCATTGGTACTGCTGCGCTAGGTGCTTGTGAGGCTGCTGCTCTAGGTGCCAGTGCGTCTACGCTCTCAGGTACTGGTGAGACTGCGCTCTCA